GACCCTCTGTTGAAGGCGCGAACGCTGCTGAATTTCCTTGGATCCGGAGGCTCTTCACAAGTTGAGCTCAGGAGCGCTTGAAGCTTGCTTCGTAGCCGTCACTCAGAGCAACTACCCTCAAAAAAACAGCGTCATGGCATCAAACCTGAGCTTCTGCACGGACATGTCGTGCGGAGTTCAGCTTCATGAGCGCCGTCGTTTGACGGTGTGAGGCAAAATGCAGGTCCCAGAAGTTGCCGTGATCGCACTTCAAGTCCTTGCAGATGGGATGCCAAACCTGGTGCAGCTTCTGCACTGTGACGTCCACGTCTGCGCTCTCCTTCGCGTGTGCATCTAAGACCTCATGCGTCTGTTTGGAGGCCTGGCTCAGTGCTTTGGACATCGCAAAGGTGCGCTGAGCCTTTGCGTCCATTTGCAACAAATTTGCTGGAGGGTGACCGAAAGGTGTTTCTGGATGTTGGAGCTCGTCGCACTGGTACTGTGCTGGGGCCACGTCGTCGTAGTGCAATGCGGGATAAAGCTGCTCAAACAGCAAGCCCTTCTTCAGAACCGGCCAGCCGATCTCCACGAAGGCCGTGATCACCTCCATGTATGTCGTGTACTGGGCCACCTCGATGTCTTCCGGCACGTGCTCTTGCAAAAGGCACGTGGCCATCATGAGGCACTCCTTCTCACTGCTCGCAGACACGCATGGGACGAAGTGAACCGAAAGAACAGACAGGGTCCGGCCGAGTCTAGCCGCCTAGCCACAAACTGTCGGCAGTTTTCGGAACTCCTGCCTTGATGTGGCTTTGCTTGTCACGTGGGCAGAGCGTCGGCCCAGCTTCGCCCAACATCTCGTGCAGGACGGTGTAGTAGCCACTCACTTTGTCTGACAACATCGCCAGGTCACTCTCGAGGAAACCGAAGTGATAGGTGATGTTCTCGTTGTGTGGAGCACTCTTGTCGCTAATGAGACCGGTAAAGTTCGTGAGGTTAATGGTCACCAAAGGAATGGCTGCAGCCAGCTGGGCATAGAGCGGAACCGCGCTGACTGGTGCCTCGAGCTCAGGATCCTCCAGCTCCACCTCCTCCTCAGGATCCTCGGAATGCAGGACTTTATACGCCAGACCCAAGCCTGACAAGCCCAACAGTAGGAAGACCGGGCTCCACAGCCGCTTCATTGACACCCCTTGATACCAGTAGCTAGTGGCTGTTCGCCACTATCGCACGAGCCACAAACAGGCTGCGGAGATGAATTCGACGCGCTGTAGCCAGAGACCCGCATGGTGTGTCGACATGCATGGCTTGCAACAGTCATGAAAATGCTTGGAGCGACCGTGCTTAGCGAGCTCCTCCACGTTTCTTGCCATTGCTCAGGTTACCTGCTGATGTACTGCCAGCAGGTCCAGGCCTTCACCGCTTTCATCGCCCACCCTGACTGGAGAGCATGCTTGAGACTTATGTGGCTACAGGACTGCACCTCTCCATGTCCCATGAACACTGAAAAGTGCTGGAAGATTCGGAACATTGATTGCTGCATTGCAGGGCCATCCAGGAGCCACTCGCAGAAAATACGTGGATTCAGCATCAACTGCAATGCCAGCGGCATTTGCTCCGAAGGTTGGCAATCATACCAAGGCTACGCATCCTCGGCGCAGTGCCTTCATCGCCTTCGTGCCCTCAGTTGCGGGAGCTTCAAAATGCCCATCCTTCATCGCCTGCAACAGCA